CTTCCCATTTCACTGAACGACAACTAAATTGACAGATGGAGCGTCGCTGCCGCCAATGTATTGCAGCTAGAGGTGGACACATTCCTTATTAGAAACCATTTTTGTAATGTGTTTTTCCCTCAAAAATCTGTAATATAATGTTTCTTCTAGACTAGATTTCTCGGCCAAGAGTGCATTTTTTTTTTTTTTTTTTTTGTGTAATTCATGTTTGTGTTGAACTTAAGAAACATTCTATGTCGCATTCATTAAAGAACTGTTTAGTGAACACGTCCTCTAAATTTCTGGTTTCTGTGTTGATTCAATCTCAAACAAAAAACATACTGGTCCTTAAGTTTTGGAGGGGAATGTATTTAAAAAAAAACTGTTATTAATTTTACAACATGAATTCTTAAAATACAATTTTAGAAAGACTGAGACATGAAGAAAGAGATACAAATCAACGCGATGAACACTTGATTTAAGATTTAAAACATAAAACATCGAATTCAGTGAAACCAGAAACAGCAAACTTGTTCATCACTGGGAAAACATTTAGAGGCAAACTCTTATCATATTCGCGAAATTTAACACATTGAAACTTATTTAGTTAACTGAAGACGTGGGGTAAAAGTAAAGATAAAATATGAAGCATAATTAAATCTCGTTAATTTTAAAATTGTTCTTATGTTACGGGTGTTAACTCATTAATTTTAAAATTATACTTACATTTTTAAATTATATGTAATTTACTTTAAAATTATACATGCTTATTCTAAAATTATACATAATGTAGACATATCATTCTTTTTAAAATTTTATTGTAAAGATATGATTATTTTTAAAATAATTCCAAGCAGCGATGAAAATATGTTCGGATAGTTTTAGCAAATCGAATGATTTCACCATGAAAATTACGTTCGTGTTAGTGTGTTACAACGTATACCTAGGACTATAAACATAAATTAAGAATTTATAAGGCGCTTTTCATTTTAGAATTGTAAATCATTATCTATGCTTTATTTTTCAGACTATATTAAGCTATAATTAAATATTGTTGCAAGTATTATTGTATTATAATTTAAAATAATTAATTTTAATGTGCATAAAATTGCACAGCTATAGTTTATTTGCATTGTATATATGAATTATATATATGAAACATATTCACGAAAGTCCTTATTTCCTTTATTATCCTCCCCATTAGCCGCAAACATGTATTTCCAACTACATAAGTGTTTTAAATAATGTAAAGATTCATATTTTGGCATTAATAAATTTAAAGAAATCAGTTTTGCAAAGCGCAAGTCATGGGCTTTTTAATTTACTTTTAATTACTTTATTTTGAATATATATACAGATGAATACACACATATTTCTTTTCTCCCTCCTTCCCCCAAAAAGTACAGGACATTAAGGGCGCACATTTATTTCTTTTCCTCAGGTGAAAAAATATCATATCATGGATGGATCTGATGGATCATATATTGGGTATGAACGTTTTACATATCTTCACTTGTTTCTTACACCAGTAGTACCGGCATAAATATTAGAAGAATTGAAAAGCACCATTCGCTTATTTCAGATAATCAAAATGTAGAGGCATTAGGTTTAAAAAAGATGCAGGAGTCGTGATAAATGAGCAATGCCCTCGCCGGGGCTCGAACCTCACGACACGCGCCGAGCTTGCTACCGTTACACCACGAAGGCATACTGGAAGGAGGGAGAGAGTACCTTATAACACATCACTATTTGGTCACTATTTATTATTTTATTGCCATCTATATTTGACCTATTTTACTAAATTTTTGCAGCCATTGTTTGTGTTTGTTGTTCGCGTTATTTTTCTGTCTTTGGTGTCTGCTTTTGTCTAAATGTTTTTATTTGTCCTTTTTCTTCACTTTAATGTTTTTAATTATTACTAACGCATCATTATTTTCTATTAGTTATTTTATGATTCAATTATTTTCCTTTTTTTTAAGTCTCAGTTTTTATCTGGTCACGGTAAATTTGCAAGTTATCTGTTTCGTTTTAATCTACGATCAAACAATTTATGTGAATGTTCAAAAAGAGTTCCTCAGGATGTGGAACATTTGATTTTCTCGTGCCCTACATTTGATGGCCCTAGATTATGCTTACCTAAACGATTTGAAAATGTTCGGAGTGACATGGCCAGTGAACTTATCTGTTTTCGCGAAGTCCAACTGCTGTTCTCTCTTTTGTTCGCTTTATTTAGCATGTAATTTTTATGTTTATTTATACATGTAACCTTTAATTCTAGTAACTTACTTCTGTAAGCCCCGTGTTTACATATGTGGTGCACGGAAAGTCTGTATGTTCTCAAAAAAAAAAAAAAAAAAAATTCCTTTGCTGTATTGGGCGGGGCATGTTATGACCATGAGACCAACTTGTTTGGTTAGGTGGGTGGGGCTGCGCCCACTGCTAATACATAATAACACATTATTAATTATAAAAATTTACATCTTTTTTCTTTTTTTCGACATCTACATCTAGCTTTCAGGGATGATAAAAATTTTTAGTTAGTTTAGATTTCAAACATAAACTTAATGAAAAATTTTGGCGTTCGGCCGAAATTACCCTGCATTCAAGATACTTTATCAAGAAAATTTCTGAAAAGAAATAAGCTACACAATGAATTTGAAGGACAAAATAAAATTACAGAAATAATTTCGAAACTTCTGCTTATAATGAATTAGCATACTTTCCTCCCCGTCAGATTTTGCGTTAAAAAGAAATTTTATAATTCAAGAAATGTGACGTATATTAAATACGTAAACCGCTTTTTATCACATTCATACTTAATTATTTTTTATTTTTAAACTTGGAAATTTATATTCATAATTTAAATACTACACCTCTCAGAATTCGAATCTATTATAGAAACTTAAAAGAATATTCTACTGTAGCGGTGAATGTAAGTGTCGTCTAAAAATAAAGTCTATAGGCCAAACTGAAAACCAATTTGAGAGTTTTCAGGTTTTGAGGCTGAATAGTTAGAAAAAGGCTATAAAAACGAAATACATATGTTTTTGCAAAACATTATACTAAGCGATTTGATTACAGCTTGCAGTATTTTAAGTAACGAATGCGATAGTAGCAAAGATTAATAACAGGGTAACAGAATAATTAACAGAATATTTTCATATTTAAAAAAATTAGAGCAATTTTTTTAATAGCCGCGATGAAAGATAATAAACGGTTTTCATCAATGAAGCGCCCTTAAACAAAATATTACATCCACCTTTTTGTTTTTCCTTATGCAACCAGAACTTATTAAATTGATGTATGTGATTTAGGTTAATTGTGGGAGCACATACTTACTAATTAAGCCTTTTTTAAACACGGAATCAATGAAAAAATATTTAATTTCAATTTATAAAAATTCCTTTAGATTCCTAATTAGTGTATATTAATACAATATGGTATTATCCTTTACGTAATTTGCTTTATTTTCCTTCAGAAGCGGCGCAGATAATATATATATATATATATATAATAAGATAAATAATATATATTTTTTACAAATTTTAAGAATATATTTTTTTTTTATATATCTAACAATATATTAAGAACTATCGCTTTACCCTGTCAGAGTTTTCATAGAATAAACTATTGCCATATCCAGCTGGCAACTGCAATATATATAGTTCGAATACTGGAGATAGCCCAGTTGAACTTTCATTTTTCCTAGTTCGGATTGTTTTATGGTATCCACAGTGATTATGAAATAAAATATGCTGAATGATAATTCAGCTACAGTCAAATTTGGTCGACTGGGTGTCCTGCCTCTCCCCAGTAGCTCTTTAAAAGAGGACAGAATGCAAGGAATTATTAATTTTCCCCTGTGTGTGCTTTGTGATGTAAGTGGCTACCGTTTCCAGTTAACAGCTGGGCGTTTTAGTGGTTTTCCCTATGTGTAACGTGCATACGAGCCAATTTCCCTTAGTCCTCCACGAATTCCCTCCTCTCTTTAGGCTTTCAGTTCTTTAGTCCCCCCTTTCCTTTAAGCAGACGGCGCTTGAGTGCTACGCCATAATCAAATAAACCAAACCAACCAAGTGGCAATATAAAAATCTGTAGTTCGAATCTCGAAGAACACACTCGTACTTTCCGATATTTAGAGCTTCAGAAATTCTAAATAATGTTTATAGTGGCACCTGAACTGTGTCTGTGTGTACAATACTGCTGCACTGCTGAACTTTACTTACTGTGAACAATAACTTGCAGCCAGGAGACCATAGTTCATCATCACCACTGGCATGAGACATAGCAGATTATGTCTCTTGAAAGTTATGTATTAAGAGAGGAAGAATCTAAGGTAGGTTTTTCCGGGTATGTTTTCTTGTGACATTAAGCTATTGAAGTTTTCAGCTAGTTAAACAAAAGATTCCCAGTGGTTCGAATCGCGGTAAAGGCACACTTAATTTTTCACTTTGCCTACTCCAAAAAAATTCTCTATTAAAAAATATCAATTATTTTAAGATTTTCGTGGAATTAATTTCAAATAATATTTGTACAAAAATTGTACTAGGATAGTTTGAAATATGAAAATATGCGAAATTGGTCAATAATAATATATTTTGTTATTTAGTTGCAAGCCACAATAAAAGACCTCATGAATTGCTTGCAATAAACGGATCATCGATTGGTCATCTGTTTCACGTAATGTGTAAGAGAAAACGAAGTTCTTTTGCAACGCCTTTAATGAGTTAAAAATCGAAAACATCGCGGAAGGTCTGGGACGCTCTTAATGATGTAATCAGTATAACTTGCCTAGAATTAAGCGATATTATTACCAGGTACTTTAGGTAAAGCTTCTTAGCATCCTTACCGAATGATATTTCTTTTTCCCTGCTCCTCTCGCAGATAAAAAAAAAAAAAAAAAAAAAAAAAAAAAAAAAAAAAAAAAAAAAAAGCGCCACCCTATCATCCACTTTTACCTGTTATCTTCGTTTATCACTGCAGGGTCCTTCTTGAAATTATAGTATCTGGCTGCCATTTTGTTAAATATGGTGGTGAAATAAAGTACGCACAATTACAATTTGCTCATTTTACGACTAAACTTTTGAGTGACTTTTGAACTGGAATAAAATTCAAAATGCATGTTCTTTCGGTTAAGTTACGCATCGTCATTCTCCTATTCATATTCTGTAGAACACATGGGAAAGTGACGGTAGAAAATGGTGCTTATAAGGACATTTTAGTTCGGTTTTCTCCGAGAGTTAACAGTGAAGATGGAGGCATGTTACTGGAAAAAATGAAAGTAAGTACTACTTTTTCTCATATCTTAATACTAACCAAATTTAATAGAAAGGAATTATGTGTTTTTAACGTTTTTAATAAATGTGCATTATCAAAATAATTTTTTTAAATTTATAGATAGAATCTTGACAATGAATATTACATAAAGAATACGTAAAATTTAAATTAAATCAAGATATGCTATATGGCTAGGTATAGAATTTACAATGGTCCGCATTGTTTCACTTACAGATGCTTTTCTAATATTGCAGTTAAATCATAAGTAGCCTAACATATTATAAGACAACATTTTTTTCCATTTTTGTCTAGTATAACTAGCGCAGTTTTACCTGTAATTTGTGGTAGTATTCGACTTCATTTATATCTTCAATTCTACAGTTTTATTCTGCAACGAATACGGTGTTTCACGTGACGAGCAGAAATTAAAATTTTTAAAATTTAATGCCTTAAATAAAATAAAAATTTTACAAACAGCATACTATTTTTGCATCGATTACGAAATACAAAACATGAAATAATCAAGAAACTTACGACACAGTTGATACCAAGGTTAATTTTTTTGTTAATTTGTATTTTTAACTATTGTCTAGTTATTGCTAGGAATGATATATATATCTTACTAAGTATCGAATCTACTTCTTTCACGTTGTAAATATGTGTTATAAATTCTAACGCTTAGAAATGAATTATTACAAATGAAATCGGATTCATTTGATTTGTTCAAAAACGGAGAATACATTTCTTTTAAAAGCCACCTAAGTAGAATTTATCAAGATCGAAAAGTTCAATTATTTAAAAAATCCTTAACTAAATTTATAAGCAATGAGAACGAAACAATCGACAAATTTTCTGAATTGCTATTATTCGATAACCAGTGAGGATAAAACAAAATTCTTTATTTGTTCCTTTGAAAACCATTCTATCTTAAATCCGCTATTCATTTGTGGAATTCCACAAGCTTTAAGGTTTAGAATTTGTTGCCTGCTTTCTCTCTAAATCGATGTTGACCAAAATTTGCATCATATGCTAGGCTTTAATAAAAGTTGAAAATTTAACAAATTACATTTAATTTAAGTAATATTTAATAACTGTTTAAATACATTTGAAACATTTAAACTATGTAGCTCTTCTTTAGGTGAAAGAAATATTAGCTAAATTGTGATTATATGTGTTGACATTTTCCCAGAAGTTTCTTACAGTCTATCTAGAATGGAAATCATCGAACCTGTAACCTTACCAATAACAAAAATAATAATAAAAAATATATTACAATTTTTCGCAGAAATTTTTTTTATCATGAATTAATATTAGATAGAATCAGCAAACATACCGAATATTTATAATATATATATATGTGTGTGTGTGTGTGATGATTTTGCAGAATAGGAATGACTAAGCTCAGCTTCAGAGTCCGGGCGTTGTTTGGCTGAGTGGCATATAGCAGAATGATGACATGGAAGGATTTTGCTTTTAATTGCACATCTTTTGCACATTCAATTCGAATGGCAGATCATTTTTCTTTTCGATGAAATTCTCTTATTACATATCAAATAGTGTTTTAAACTAAATTACATGAAATCTGGACTTCTGACGTCATAAATAGAAATTAAATTCTTTAAAAGAAGTTTTTTCCTGTTTGATTTCTTCCAAAAATTGTCCGAATTTAATCATTTTTAGTTAGATTTGATTTCATAAACCTAATTCTTTATAGGAAGTTTTTTCCCTTCTTTGATTTCTTCCGAAAATTGCCCGAATTAAATCATTTTTGTTCCAAACATTTATGTAACTGCTGTTATGTTATTTAGTTTTTTAAAAGATCTTGTATCCTCCATTTTATGAGTGGGTGCAGGTTTCTCTGTTTTAGGTAAATTTCATCATTTTGCTTTAAACGTTTGTTGAATACTTTGATGGACAAACCTTGAAGTTTTCTACATGCTTAACTTGACAAATACTTTCGTTTCCTGTATTCGTTTTCTATTGGTGCAAAAGCAAATGCTTTGTGATATCTGTACATAACATATTACTTAAGTAATAACGCTTTAACTATTGTCAAAGGTACCACCAGAATAGTACGTTTGCAGTTTATACTTATCAGTAAAGATTGAATGAAACTTCTATGGATTAATACGTACGACAAATATTAAAATTGAGAAGTCACTATATGATTTAGTGGTAGAAAATATAAAAACTTATTAAATTTTCTGAAGTCTATCGGGAGATGCATGAATTTATGTTGCAATAAAACTCCACTACCATAAAAAATACTCCACTACCACAGCACTGGCTAAGTACTATGGTAGTGGAGTATTTTTAACCGTGAGAATAACTTTCGAGAAAAAGTACCGGATAGTTAATGAATTATGTTTTAAAGACAGGCTCTTCTTGGTTTCCATTTCTTTTCTTTTCTTTTCTTTTTTTTTAAAGCATATTGAATCCTTTTTTTATATACTTTTTCCCCTGCGCTTTTCCGTCTTCAGTCAGCAAGGGCGGAAAAAAAGCATCTTTTAAAGGTATCGAGTATTACTCAGAGTTCTTCTCTCAATTGACATCATAATTTTTTTAAGTACATTTACAGTTGATCACCTTCAAAGACGCTTTCTAATTTGTCTTTGTAGCATACAAGAGATAAAATTTTAAAGTAGATGGTTTATTTTTGGCTTCGGAATTATCATAGGTGGGATCTTTATCTTCTTTTGTTGCATCATAAACATGTGATCGGTGTCGTAATCAATATATTTTTCGTCACTAATCATTGAGCAGTGGTGTTTCTAATTAAAGGTTCGTCTTAGTTTCAATCTACTCCCTTTTAACTTGTTCATTGTTCTATGCCATCCTTGAATTTGAATATTCGAATCCTAGAATTTACTTCTGATTTTCTTCTTCGGTTTCTTTTCTTTCTTTCTTTTTTTTTTTTTTTTTTTTTTTTTCAAATTCCTGACCTAATTCCAAATTCCTGATTATGCCTACTTCCATTAGAAAAAAGCGAAAAACTTTTTTAATGTTTTTTTTATTATTATTATTTCAGAAATTTTGCAATTCCAAAAAAGGATATTTTTATGCAAACTATAAGGTTTGCTGGAAAGTTCTGTCAGATAATGTTCAAGTTTCAGCGCGCATGCAGGTATTCATTTGAGACATCTGTGGCTCTCTCTCTTTATCGCTGCAGTTATAAACATGTGCTCTTCTAAATTAACTGAAACAAAAGTGTTTCATATCATTATTGAGATGTGATCGTGTAAACATGGTTATCGATAAAGTTCATTTGCAATCCTGCATTTTATACGAATTCCAACAAGGAAGAAATGCTACAGAAGCGTGACCAAATTTAGGGGCAGTGTTTGGTGGACATGCACTTTCGGATAGGCGTGCAGGAGATCATTAGAAAAATTTGAAGCAGGTGATTTCGAACTTGATAAGACACGCTCTAAGCAGCCATGTTAAATCGATGACTATATTGTCAAGGCCATGACAGAGAATTTCTCTTTTTGACATCATCGGAGATTGCAGAAAAGCTCAATTAAGCTCGACAAACAGTTTTACACCATATTCTGAAACTAGGTGTGATCATTTAATATTCCAGATGGCTGCTTCATGAGTTAAGTGAAAAACATTTGCATGATCGAATCGTCATATGCAAGTCTGTGCTTCCTCGGAATAAAACGAATCCTTTTTTGACCGGATATAACAAGAAATAGAAGTTAATTACCCCCGGAAACATCGTTAGGAAAAGAGCATACTCTGAGAATGGACAACCCGTCCCCTCCTTTAAACCGAGTTTGAGCTTGAATAAGAGAATGCTGTGTATATGGTAGGGTATCCAAGGACGACGTAGTAGGGTATTAAAACTTTTGAAACTTAAAGGAAAATTCAGTTCGGAGAACTACTGTCAACAGATCGACGATTTTAAACAAAGTAGTCACGAAAATAAGACGACAGTGTTCAATTAGGAGCACATCATACTGCATCATGATAAGCTAGCACATGCTACACATGTTACTTTGTTGACTCGTCAGCAAACTGCGGTATTAGGCTCACCATGCTCCAGACCTAGCACCTTCCGATTAGCACTTGTTTCTCTGTTTGCAAAATTTTTTGAAGGGCAAAAAAATTCAAAATTGAAGCAGATGTCAGCCAAACATTATTTGATTTCTTCGCTTCTGAGAAGAAGATATGTTTCAAAAATGCTATCTGCAAATTACCATAATGCTAGCAAGAGGTCACAAGTAACGACAAAAATTATATCGCGATATACGTATTATTAAAGGTATAAAAAATGTATCATTTTCTTTCCCTTTCCAAACAGACAGAATTTTCCGATAGACCATATATATGTAAAAAAACCCTTTACTGACCAAAATTTAAATATAAAGAGAAATTAAAAAAAAAAAAAAATATCCTGTTCCTATAATGCTGGTTTTTTTCATATACATTAATATGAATAGTAAACTTACATTAGTTTTACATTTCATTTGTGTTACATGCTTTGAAATTTCTAGACAGAAATACAATTTCATCCTGGTTTCATAAATTTAAAAATAAGGCACAATAATGTTAGGCCTTTTTTTCCATAATGCCTTCCAGTGCAATTCACGCATTTCATTTAAAGTCATTGGCACCTAATAATTTCTACGTTAATATGACCGTAAGCCATTTTCCAAGTATAATTAAACAATGCAACGAATAGTTTATAAAGGCATCATTAAATATTTTTCGAACAACATAGAATTAGTGTCATTACCTTCACGCATGTGAAGTCAGTAACCCTTCACATGACATTCGGATGTCATATGATGGGTAGAATTGGAGATATTGGTGGAAAACATTTTATAGCAATTAAGCAAAAACTCAACAAACTTCAAAATTATCATCAAGAGACATACAGAACTCTGAAGAACTGTCAGTTAGTAAATTTTTACGGGACTAAGATCAGTAGTTTCTACTGTCACTAGTAGAATTACCCATTTTCTGTTAGGCTCACCAGCAGCTCAACGGTAAAAAGGC